GTTAGGCTTATTACTCTAATTGGATTGGGTCTTTATCAAGCACACTTCTCTTCTGAATAATTCTGGAGCAGGAATCCAGAAGCTGGCCTTAATGGTTTGATGGTTATTTTAATTCACTAGAAACAAAACAATTGCTCAGAGCTCTAATGACTAGTCTTGGTCCATCTCTGCTTGGGAAAGAAAATGAGAAGCCACACGGACAAGCTGCCCACTCTTAGTTCAAACTGCTCTCAGGCAGGGAGCACTTGTGTGGCAAGATGAGTTCCCTTCTCTTTGCCCAAAGGATGCTAAACAGCTGGGGTGAAAGTGTTGCTGGATGTTGGCAGTAGTGGTCTCCCAGTCTCAGAGTGACTCCCGGGTACTGAGGGGTTCCGATATTTCAGGGACAGAGCGGTGAGTATTGTGCAGTGTCAAACAGTCTGAGAGACCTGGGTCTGGACCCTGGTCCTGATACTAACTAAGGTAGTAGGCTTTGGGGAAAGTTACTTTAACACTTGGAACCTCTGTTTGGCTCACTGTCCTTGGGGACAGGTATTAGTATTTTTTAATAACAGAAGACTTTGGTGACACCTGGCATCTAAGTTCTTTCACTTAGCATGATGCATAGGTTCCTCCCCATCCTAGCATGTTCTTCACTTCTCTTTATGGATGAGTAATAGTCCATAGTATGGATATAGCATGCTTTATTTATCCATTCCTCCATCAGTGAACATCTGGGCTGTTTCCACTTTTTGGCTATTATGAATAGTGCTGCTATGAACACGCTGTATGTGTACTTGCTTGAGTACCTGTTTTCAGTTCTTCGGGGTATGCATGTATACTGTATACTTATTTTCATTCATTTCTGCTGTGTTTTTCCAGAGTGGTGAGAGCTCTTCTAGCTCTCTCTCTTCTTTGGACCTTACTGGTTGAGCCATATTGGTCAAGTGGCTTGAACTTCTCTCTGTACCTCTGTTTTCCCGTCTGTAAAATGGAGTCCATAACAACAGTTCCTACCTTCCCATGATTGTCAAGCACACAGTTTGCATGTGAAGAGTATTAGTAATAGCTGTTATCTTTTCCTTTCAGTACTTCCTTCCTGGAATCTCCCTTTTAACCCCCATTTGTTTTGAGATCTCTCACATATTGCCTTGAAGCATCTGGTGGCTGAAGTTTCTTGCTGGGCAGGTGGCTGAGCTAGGGGCTGCCCTTTAAGATAGAGAGTCTTAGGACCCTGAAGCATCATGTTCTCTGAAATGGGAAGAAGATACCGGTGCCTAACACAATGCCCAGCTAATGTGTCTATTTTTAGTAGAGACAGGGTCTTCCTCTTGCTCAGGCTGGTCTCAAACTCCTGGGCTCAAGCAATCCACATGCCTCAGCCTCCCAGAGTGCTAGGATTGTAGACATGAGCCACCGTGCCTGGCCTTTATTTCAAATTATTATGAGGGTACCAAAAATTAGGCTACAGTGTTTTCGTTTGTTTAGGTAAGGTCCCTGTTGTAGTTGTGCCCCTCACCCAGGAGGTGTGCCATATACCTTACATTGTCCCCATTAGGTGGGAGCACCAATGGTAGTCTTTGTTGAGACTCAAGGTTTAGTTGTGCCTAGAAAGACCTCCAGGTGGATGTTGATAGTTTATACTTGAGCTACATAGACAAGGACAAATTGAATAGAATCACGTTAGATAATCAATTTGAGATTTAGCTAGCTATACCTATGAAAAATCTCATGGCAAGCTTGAGGTCATAATACAGTTATAGGTATCCCTGTGCCCCTTGTGGCAGCTGCCACAAACTGCAGGTATGGGGCCAGAAGGGTATGTACACCTCTGAGTCATGAGCCTAGGAAACCCACATCTGTATACACAATATCAAAAATTTCATCAGAAGAGACCATCTAAGTTTTTTCACCTCTCACGTTTCAGGCAGGTGATGAGGGATGTGAATTTCAGGGATGGACATTTTTTTCATCCTTAGAGATACCTTAAAATCTGCTGAACCTGACCGTTAGGGAATTCTAATTCCCTCTCTTATGAGCGGATCCAAAAAGGACTACATAAACTCAGTCCTAAGGGTTCTTGGCAGGTTATTTTCACTGGACAAGCCACCGATTCTCAATACTTTTGTGCTTTAGGAAAGACTCAGTTTTTTGTGACTATACGATTAGATCATTACATTACTTGGACCCTACAAAAAACTGCTTATACAGGATCCGATCATTTTTGATTATGATATTTGGGAGGAGGGAGAGAGAGAGAGACAGACAGACAGAGAAAGACCTATAAATGTTTATTCCTCAGAGAAAGAATTTTTAAGGAGCCAGAAAACCTGGTCCAAGAGCTTTAATTTAAAATGTTCTAATTGCTGTGAGTCACATCAAAGTACCATTTGAGTTTTCTATACACTATTTCTTATAATTTCCAATTTCATTAAATTATAAAAATACAAAAGTCATATGTACTATTTGTAATAAATGAAGCCAAAAAGAGATAAAGAAAAAATAAACATCCCTCCCATGTCAAGACCATCCTTTTTAAGGCAACCAATGATCCCCCCCCAAAAAAAAGTTTGGTGTGTGTCTCCTTCACTATACTCACACAAACACATATAAAGAAGACATACAGGTGGTGCCTGAGGCTCAAAGGAGTAGGGCACCGGCCCCATATGCCAGAGGTGGTGGGTTCAAACCCAGCCCCCGCCAAAAAAAAAAAAAAAAGACATATACACCATGTGGAATTGTTTGTTTCATGTTCATGCAATTTGTTATTTTTTCACTTAACACACTCTAGATAACTCTGCAGCTCCTGCATAGACATCTTACTTGTTATTTTTAATACGAGTGTAATATTCTAAAGCATCAACCCTTTCCCTATTGATGAACAGTGAGACTGTGTCCTTATGTTCTTTTTTTAATCATGATAAATGCTGCAATAAATATGATTGTACATATATAAACCCGTGCTGGGACATGGATTCTTGTAGGAAAAAAAATTGCAGGGTTAAAGGGTATGTTATGAGTGCTTTATTAGTTTAATAGTCTCTTTCCCAGAAGCCTGCAGCACTTTCTGTTTCTACCCCTTCCTCAAATCCCGGCCTGCCCCGGATGTTAGCAACCTTTTCTAATTTTTGCCCATCTGAGAATGAAAAATGCTATTTTGAGTGTCCACCATTTTGCTGCTAACACATTCTCCCCTCTGCAGATAGAGTGATCTTTTTTGAACCACAGATCTTATTATGTCACTTCCCTGCTCAGAATACCTCATTACCTTCCTGTCACTCTAAGAATAAAGATCAAAGTCTTTGACATGGCCAAAAAGCACCTTGAGGTCTACCAGCCTCTCAATGGGCTCCCCTCCTAGCAGAAGGGGCTTCCTTAAGTATGCTGAGAAATCACCATGACATATTAGGTTGTTAGCCAGTGCAAGCCTCCTAGGGAGCTGCACCTTTTAAAATGTGACGAACTTATGCCTGAAAGGAATAATTATTTTTGTTTTATTTGCCTGTTTTCTCAGTTCCTTCGGGCAGATCCTTTAGAGTAAACAGGAGGGGGAAAAAAAAAACATGTTAGGACGACACCTCGACTCCTTACGGATAGGCAGAAGGTCTGATCATAAGTGCAGGGGGTGGGGAGGTTGCTTCTCTTGTTTTTAAGTTGGACTTTTAAAGTAGAAGATGCCTTTAATGTGCTGGTTTGCAGAAGAGGAAATCTGATTTTCAGTGTGATAACACATTCTTTGACTTTAACCGGTACAGTGGGATTTTAATGACACTTTCATCTTCAAAGCCCTTTACCAACACGGGTGGATTTAATTATTCTTTTTTTTTTTTTTTTGGTTGTGTGTTAAAAAGACAAGTCTTCAAAGCCATCATCCTTTCTCCTGGGAATTGGGGCTCTACCCCTTTCAAATGTTGCTTTCTTGCCCTCCAGGGAGAAAGTAAATTGCATTAAAAAAAAAAGAAGAAGAAGAAGGAGAAGAATCCAAAGGAAAAATACTCTTTGCACTATGGAGAGATGATGTCCTTATATCCTGGGTGGGATTAAAAGAGGTTGGGAAGCAGTATTTAGGCTGTGTTTACAGTAAGCACTGCGAGGAATAACCGGCTGAAAATGGTTGTTATTGCTGTGCCTTTTGAAGTGCTCTTTAAAAGTAGCATATGTACATAAAACGTCCCCGCGCTAAACATCAAGTTGGCAAATAATATGCGGGTCTTTATACTCGTTGCTAAAGTATATATTTTGTCGTGTTCCCTTAAAATACCGTCTAATTGCGTTTTTGAACTATTGGTTCTAGAGAAGAAAACCTCACGCCCCTCACCCTCAGGGTCCTCCTTCCCTGGACACATCTTATAACCACAAGAGAGCAGTCTTCCCTTTGATGAGGGCGTCCCGCCACCTCCCCAGAAATGAAAGAGCAAGTGTTACGTTTGCAAACACTCTAAAAGCTCCTTCCATTAGACCTGGACGCCGGAAACCACAAAGGGCAGCCAAGTTTTGATTTTCAAGGAGAAAGCCTCTGGTAAACTTTCGCTCCGCCGCCAGAAGATCTGCGGGTTCCTGGGAGGAGCCCTTCGCAAATCTTGGAGATTCTTGGGCTCTTTGCTAACGACTCATCTCTTGAAGACCCGGAGCGGTGGATTACAGGAACTGAAAAGCTTTGGTGGCTTTGGAAGATTACGCTGTGTTTGGTGTGCGCTCACGTTTCCAGGCTAGAGGACCAAGTGGAGGAACTCCTTTTGTTACCTATTGAAATAAGAAGATCAGAGGGGAAGGCAGGGCTTGAAGCGTGGATTACAGGGGTCCTAAGTCTTTGCCTATTACCTCTGTCTGGATCTTTATAAAAAGATCAGGGAGTGTAATGAACTAGGGGAATCATGTAAAGCTTCCTTGACGCCTGTCCTGGAACCTGGTTTCTGGGCCCCCACACTTCTCTAAAGACAGACCCGCTGTGCCAGGCAGTCTGGATGGACCAGCATCTCCATTTTGAAGATTTTACGTCTTTTATCTTCTGCTGAGAGATCAATCTCTTGGGTGATTTGCTTGCTTTTTGGCGAATGATGGAAAAACGTAAAACGGCGGGATTGCTGGCCTTGCCGTACCCGCTGCGCACCGCGCCCCTGGGCATGGCGGGGACGCTGTCCCGACTCCCGGCGAGGGACCCCTTCAGGGTCTCCTTGCGCTTGGGTGCCACGTGCTGGGAGCGGGAGCACCGGGGCTGCTCACGGAGACGGCAGTACTTGCCCCTACCGCCGGACGGCGCCTTCGAGCCTGCCTTCCTCCGCAAGCGCAACGAGCGCGAGCGGCAGCGGGTGCGCTGCGTGAACGAGGGGTACGCGCGCCTCCGGGACCACCTGCCCCGGGAGCTGGCCGACAGGCGCCTCAGCAAAGTGGAGACGCTCCGTGCTGCCATCGGCTACATCAAGCACCTCCAGGAGCTGCTGGAGCGCCATGCCCGGTGCCCCGAGCGCCCGGCCGGCGTTGTCCCCCAGCGCAGGGCGGATTGCAACAGCGACGGCGAGTCCAAAGCGTCTTCGGAGCCTTCTCCCGGCAGCGAGCCCGAGGAGCGGGGCAGCTAGCGGGCCCCGGCCCCCTGCACAGTGTGTGTTCGGGCGCTCTCCCAAGGTGGTCTGGTTTGCATTTTTAATGAGATTTCTTCTCCAGAGCTAAGTCTTAGGAAAAAGAAATGAGAAGAGTTTGACATTTAGGGGTTCCCCCATCCCCTTATTGATTTATGTGTCTGCAACTTAAAGGTGCTTATTATGGAGACTCTTTGCCTGAACTTCCAAAATGCAAACTGTTCCAGAGTCTGAGCACCTCGTTCTAAATGCAGTTATTCTAAAAACTCAAAGAGTGAACTATTGGAACTGCCCACAGTCAGTGGTAAATGTGAGTGAATTATATACATAAATATTAAACCTTAACCAAAGAAGAACTTTACCACTCCCCTCTAAACAAAATCAGAAACAAAAACGAAACCCAAAGAAAACCGCAGTCCTTAAGAGAAGTATCTTCTTGCATTCTATCCTTTGGGAATTGTATTATAAATTTGACTTAAAAAAATTAAAAAAAATTTAATTGACAACATACTTTGGGTGAAGGTGACTCTAAGCTGACACTTGAAAATGCATTTCCCAGCAGGTACTGTTGACTGAGCACTAGATGGTTCTAGAGAAGTCATTCTGCATGATATATACTGTGATATCAACAAGGGGCCCTTGGAAACTTTAGAGCATTTAGCAGATGATGGAATATCTCAGAGTTAATGATCTCTTTGGAAGAGAACCCAGATCTGTATGAAACCTTACTTTCCCTCTCTGCGTTTCTTCCTTTTCTCTTCTTTGCATTCATTCCCTTTTGTAGCTCTCACTCCATCTAACCTTTGGTTAAAGTGACCCTGTGACTTTAAAAATAAAAAGGAAATATACTTGAAAGTGCCTTTTGAAGGTTGAACTGGATGGGACAAGGGATGTGGAACAGGGGGGATGGATGATGCATGACAAGTGGTATAGTCTCCAACGTTATCACTCTGAGGGCTTCCTAGGCCAGTACATTGAAATTATGGAGTAGCCTTACCTGTGTTCAAAATCTTTTTAAAATATTTAATTTGGGTCATTTTGTTTCCCTCAGAAACACCTTTGAATTCAGTAGATAAGTGAAATGTTGTTGATATGTGATGATAAACTTCCTCTAAAGTTATTTTCTAATATGCTAAATTGTCCTTTCCATGGAGGCAGCTTTGATTCAGGGGCGTTAGGGGAAGGAGAAGTGGAACAGACGAGGAGAATTAACCCTGGAGAGCACTTTCTGGGTATTCTTTAACGTGGCCTCATGAAGTGGATGTTATTACACCCTCAGATGTGTCCACTGAGCTAGGCTGCAGTGCACTGGGCGTCTTTGACATGCTAGGAATTTTGTTGTGTGCTCTTTGCATGTTGTCCTCATTGTCACAAATGTATGGGGTGGGTAGTACATTTATTTTGTAGTTTTTTTTTTTTGTTTTAAATGAGGCTTAAAGAGGTTACATACCTTGACTAGTTTAGTGTTGCAAGGATTAGCTGAGCTGAGATCCAGTCCTGAGTCTGTCTGACCCCAAGTCCAGGCTTTCTGTCTCCCTTACCACGCTCTCTCTTGCTGCCCTTTGCTGGCTGGGTGACCAGAGCAAATGGCACTTCTCTGCAACTGTTTCCTTGCTAGGACTATTTCATGGAACTGCAAGTGAAAGACCTTGGTAATGTGGATGGTGCAAAGCAATGATCAGTTAGTAACAGTATCATTAATTGGGGAAAATGCTACTTCTCAGTTGCAGGGAGAGTAAAGCCTGGCTGAGAATAATCTCTAGGTGGACTTGGTGTCATTTCGTCAGTGTTTCAGAAGAGGGACGGAGTAACTCACGCTTTTACCTTCTATGGTAAAGTTCTAAGAGACGTCACTTGAGTGCTGAAGCCAGTTTAAAATATATAATTACTAACATCTGCAATGATGACTTATAATGAAATTCTATTGTCTGGGGCTGCACAGATAAATTTTGTGCAATGATTCAACACCAAACTTCCCCTTTTCTTAAAAGCTGGGGCCTTTTGGCTGTAATTAGCAAGATGTACCAGCTATTTTGTCCTACCCGTTACTCAATGAAATCCTCACAAAGGATTTAAAACTCTTGCAAAGCGTCCATGTTTGTCTCCAGACAGGTTGTTATTCCAAATGTGAGTTTCAATGTGGGTTTCAATGAAGCAGGCCTAAGTAAGGTTTATTTACTAATTAGGGGGAAAGATGAGGGAACACCCTTGTATCTTCCTGGCTGAGTTGGAGGAGAAGCTAATGAACCAAGAGGCTGGAAACCTTCATATGGTTTGGTGTGAAGCCCTACTACGGCCATGATTTTGAAAAACCTGTTAGAAAAATACAAATCAGCTCGGCGCCTGTGGCTCAAGCGGCTAGGGCGCCAGCCACATACACCTAAGGTGGCGGGTTCGGATCCAGCCTGGGCCTGCTGAACAACAATGATGGCTGCAGCCAAAAAATGGCCAGGCGTTGTGGCGGGCGCCTGTGGTCCCAGCTACTTGGGAGGCTGAGGCAGGAGACTCGCTTGAGCCCAGGAGTTGGAGGTTGCTGTGAGCAGTGAAGCCATGGCACTCTACCCAGGGGCTCAGCTTGAGGCTCTGTCTCAAAAAAAAAAAAAGAAAGAAAGAAAAATACAAATCTATGTCAATCTTACAACTTTTTTAGAAAAAAGAAATAAATCTGGCGTTCTTCTGGAACCTTCCTGATGGCTTACAGGAAGAGCACCAAGCCAGGCGTGGGACTTTTTAAAATGTCCTCTTTCCTGTGAACGATCATTTCATTAACCATAAGACATCTGGCTTTCCAAAAGAACAAAAATGGATTCCCCCCGAGTTTCGAGGAAGCAATGGCGTGCAGGGGAGTTTTGTGGAAACGAAGCATTAGAGAAAGAAGAAACATTTACAGGGTCTTCAACATGTTCCCTGTTTTTCTGGTCACTCAGCCCAGACATATCTCTCGATTATGCTTTATTGCCTCTAGAATACTCACTGAGGCTCCCCATCCCGAGTGATTGCTGTGTGACCCTGCTTCCACCCCAAGTGTGCAGAGGCCAGGGGGCTGTGCTGGGGTGTGGCAGGCCCTGGCCCCAGGGCTTGGTCCGCCTCTGCCACCCACTGACTTGGTGATGGGGCAAGTCCCCAGCTTCTGTGGTCCCAGCTCCCTATGCTAGGACACGTGGAGATTGGATTATGTTATCTTTTTAAACTCTTCCAGCTCTAAAGTGCCATCATCCAACATGTGCAAAGTCCTCGGGGGGGGGGGGGAACAAATGGAAGCAGGGATGGCCACTTCCTGCCACGCAGCACGGTGGCTTTCCGCTCCTCTGTTTCTCTTCTCCCACTAGAATGATCCAGCCCTGGGGCTGCAGCCTACTCTTCTTTCTGAGTCCCTCATGTCTTACCATGCCTAATTTTTTAAAAAAGCAAGGTTTATCATTTTTTGTTGAATAGAATTTGAAGCATCTTACAAAGTGGTGGGAAAACAGATCCACTTTACCTCAACAAATGGTATATGTGTATCTGAGGTCCAAAAAGAAAACTGCTATGAGGGTCTAGAGGAAGGAGGGATTTGGTCCAGCTTCCAGTGAGCCAAGGACCAGGGGGACCAGGAGGAAGGGCTTCTGGAGATACAGCAATTGGCAGGTGAAAGTGGAATGAGAATTATAGGCAGAGGTTACAAGAGAAGCCAAGTGCTAAGAAGTCAGTTGTTTGGAGGGTACAGAGGGGCTGAGTAATAGGAGATGGGACATGAGGCTGAGACAAGGTTCTAGGGGCATCGAAAGGGCCAGGTCACCCCAACCCCAACCTCAAACTCCTAGGCTCAAGCAATCCTGCTGCCTCCATCTCCCAAGTAGCTGGGACTATAGGAACCTGCCACCACATTCACCTAATTTTTCTATTTCTTAGTAGAGATGGGATCTTGCTGGTCTCAAACTCCTGAGATGGGGAGGGCAGAGCTGGAAAGTCTGCCCCGGTGTCCCAGAGTGCTAGGTTGACAGGTGTGAGCCACCATGCCCGGCCCTTCTTTCTGGTTTGGAGAGAAGGTGTGGATGAGGAAGCAGCAGACCAACAGGGTATTCCAATAATTAAGGAGGAGGAAGTGAAGGGAGGGTCTAAACTGAGGCAGAGACAGAGGGAATGGAAAGGAAGGGACGGACGGGCTGACAGGCAATGTCAGAGAGGAACTGATAGATCCTGGCAACTCGGAAGAAGGGGGGTGCTGAGGAAGGGGGCGAAGCTAAAAATAACTTTAATTCCCATCGACTGAAATTGGGAACACACAGATAAGCAGATTTAAAAGGTGAAAGTCTTGGTTTGGAAATGCTGACTGTAAAATGCTGTTAGACTACTTCCCCCACAAGCAACTGGAAATGCTGATGTCAAGGTCAGGAGAGAAGTGAAGGACAGCTGTGGATGTGAGAATCCTACACGTATCGGTGAGGCGTTGGCAATAATGGGAGTTGTTGCAGTCTCCGTGGGACATTCTGCATTGAAGGTGTGGCAGAAGAAATGTCTTTGAAGAGAACTAGAAGCCAGAGAGGCTGAAAGGAGAACCAAGGTAGTATGAGATCAAGGCAATTAAATGAGGATATACTTTTATAAGAAGGAGGGAGTGGTTGAAAGCATCCCGTGAATCATATGAGGTGTCAGATTTAAGGATAAGGGGCACCCATTGTGTGGAGGCACGGAGAGATCACTAGAGGCCTTTGTAAAAGCTTAAAAGGCGCGGCAGATTGAAGAATAAATGGGATGAGAAATAGAGGTAAACTTGAAGACCGCCCTTTCAGCGTGCTTCACGGTGAACAGAGAAAGCAAGCAGGGATGACGCTTTCTGCTTCCAGATGGAGGAAAAGATGGTGCATCAACTAACAAAGGCATTTGTGAGCTGGAGGTCTTACAGGTGAGATAGTTCTAGTTGGTTCAAAGGCCCCATAGATGACAAGGAGTCTGATGGCTTAAGTGGAGGTGGAGGTCCTAGGAACTGGAGAGGTTAAAAGACTGGGAGGGCAGAGAGC